ATCTTTATAAATATATAAGACAGGCAGGACTAGATAAGAGAAAACACAGGAAAGAAAGAATAAATGAAGACAGGTGTGTCATTTTTAACCAATAGAAAACAGGTGTGGAGCAAAGACAATAAAAAGGACCACAAAACATATTTGTATGTTTGTGTTGTTACTGAAATGAAAAATAAATAAATATGTCCCTAGAAGAAATAAAGTATATCTCAAATTTCTTTACTAGACAAAATAATAACAATAAAAAAACTTAAGAGGTGTGTTTTCTTTTGTTTCAACAATTTATTATAAATCAACGGATACTGAATAAAATTTGTTCTCGCATTTTACAACAGCAAAAAAAAACCTATTGTTTCAAGTTGATGAGAAGCAATTTCCTCAACATTTTGTGGTTTCGGATTAACACTCAATCATCAGTCAGTTGGAATATAATTAAGAAGTGAACAGACAATGACAATAATCCTCAACTGGTGCTCCATTTGTCTCACCTGCTGGAAATCAAACATTGACCTCATATTGTCAATCTGCCAGTTAAATTACTTTCACACTCTGCAGCTTTATGCAGGCACGCTGTGTGTGTGTGTGTGTGTGTGTGTGTGTGGTGGTGGAGGTGGGGGGGGGGTACCCGAGCCTCCCCTTCCCACCCTCCCTTTATGGTGTGGAGATTAGGTTGTTAATCCAGCAGACCTCAGGGAAAAAGCCCCTCCTGATGCCACAATAGATTTAGAAATAGAACAGAGGGCAGACCTGCTGTTGACAGGCGGCTCAGTTGGTAGAGCTGTTGCCTCTCAGCGAGAAGGTTGCTAGATCAAATCCTGACCTTTCTGTGTGGCGTTTGCATCTTCTCTCTGTACATGAGTAAGTTTTCTCCTGGTACTCAAGTTTCCTCCCACAGACCCCAAATTTGCATGTTGGACTCATTGGTAACTCTAAATTGTTGCTAGGTGTGAGTGAGAGAGTGAATGATTGTTTGTCTCATTTGTCTCTATATGTCCCTGCGATGGACTGGAGACCTGTCCAGGGTGTCCCCCGCTTCTCGCACAGCGACTGCTGGATATGGGGACCAGTAACCCCTGCGACCCTGAGAGGAATATACATCATATGTATATAATCTGACCAGACTGATGAGTTTATGGTTAGTTTGAGTAAAGGATAATAACCTTATCTGTATAATTTAGATGCTACTTTATATAATGTTACAACATTGCTGGTTTTGCATAGCACAGTTATTCTGGCAGAAGTATCATTATATACTTACCAGAAGTGCTACAGCTAGCTGCTACAGCTACTTTCAACATTTGCACTTGCTAATAACAGTAGAAGTCTACGTAAATAACCTTGTTCCTATGTCATTTTTGTTTTTAACAACAACGAACCACGACTAAATGTTTCACTCATGACTTCTGGTGATGGAAACAGGTCAAAATCGAACTTTTGTTTTCTGTTTCTATGCATTTTAAAGAAGAATCCTTCTTCCTGCTTCTTGCTCAGTGCCTTCATTCAACTTTACTGAGCACCATTCATGAAAAGGTTTGTCATTCACGTAGATATCAACAAAAATGATTAAATCATGTCATCTGGACCATGGTCTTATTGCTTCAGTCACTTTCACTCACTACTTTCCAGTCTGCCACAGCTCAGGGACTGCCGCCATGTTGCATAAAGCTGCACGAAGAGCAACACCAAACAGGATGTGATGATGCTGGCATTTCAAAATAAAACCTCGAAGTAATGCATTAAATGTTAATCCTGTTCTTCTAAAATAATGGATGGATGATTTTAAAAAATGTGCAAAATTTGTGACTGAATGCCACTGATACTGTTTTTTTTTTTTTTTTTACTTACAGAGACAGCCAGCGGGGCTGAAATTGGGTCAAACATCAAATTTACAGCCACGTTTGTTAACTTACACAGACTACAGTGAGCCGAATGTGGGTCTACATCAATAAATGCTTGTTTGGGTGTTAATATATTTCAAACCCATTAAGATTTGGAAAAAAAAGTGTTTGAAAACAGCAAACATTCTGTTAAACATATAT